GGCCGCCCCACGCATCGCGCCCGTGTCTCCCCGCAGCCGCGTGGTCCGTAAGTCCATCGCCAGGGTGCTGACCGTCATCAACCAGACCCAGAAGGAGAACCTGAGGAAGCTCTACAAGGTGAGCGCCCGGCGGGCCGGCCGCGGTGCGCAGCCGTGCGGCACCGGGCACTGTGGCGTTAGTCCTGTGCTAGCGCTCCGCTCGGGAAGCTTAATGATCAGAGAGCGTTTGGTAATGCTGGGCTTTGGGGCAATCGGGTCATGGCTCCTTGCGGTGTAAATTTTAGCCTGTTACTGCCTTAAATTCGGTAAGTAGAGCATGGATTTGGTCTCATCGAGAGAATCCTCTGTAGAGTGTCACTTACACGGTCTAGGGTGTTTTCCAGAAGAAACAGGTCTTGGAATTGAACTGCAGGTGCTGCTTACTGTATTGGAAAAATAATGTTACTGGCTTGCCAGATAATAGAGAAAGTCTTTTGCTCAAGATGCTTCTCTTATTTACAGAATATTTTTTATCATACATTCGTATTATTTAGAGCAGGAGAAGAAAGTATTTCAGGAAAGACTTACAAGGTTCTGCTGGTCCTGAAGTTTGTATCAGTTAATATGAACTCATATCTTAATGGTGGTTCTGGAAAACGGGCAGGTGAAAGACTCCCAGTGCTGCTGCTGAAACACTGACAGGCAGCACATGCACCCCGTCCCCTCGTTGCAGTCTCCCAAACTTAACTCTTGTGTATTTTTGCAACCAGGGCAAGAAGTACAAGCCTCTCGATCTGCGGCCCAAGAAGACTCGTGCCATGCGACGCAGACTGAATAAGCACGAAGAAAACTTGAAGACCAAAAAACAACTGCGAAAAGAACGCCTGTACCCTCTCCGGAAATACGCCATCAAGGCGTAAAACTGTAGTGTACTAAAAGTTCTTATACTAGCTGAGTATTTCTCATTAAATACAACTTGGTTTGGAAGGTGTCACTGATCTGTCTTTAATAGAAGTGAGGCAGAGAGGTCTTCAGTTTCACGGAGAAAAATCAGGACTTGCAGAAGGCTCGTTTTAATTTATTGCTGGTGAAGATATGTAACTAGCGCAGAAGGCTCGTTTTAATTTCTTTATTGCTGGTGAAGATATGTAACTAGCACCTTAACTTCTTCCCGGTGCCGCGCGCTCTGTCCCAGGAAGCTGCTGCCTCAAGGGCAGGTGCCGGGAATGGGGCAGGGAGCGGGCTCCTCTCGTCCGTGAAGCCCGGCCCTCCTCCTGGGGCGCCTGCTGTGCCCCGGTGCTGCCCTGGGGTGCCATCCGGAGAGGAGCCGCGTGGCTCTCGCCAGGCTTCCTAGCGTGGCAAAGCAAACGCAGGTCATGCTGCCAACCCCTCCGGGATGCTGGGCTGCGAGTTCCAGGCTTGCGTGTGAGCCCGGCAGCCGGGTGCCTGTCGGGCTGCGGAGCCTCGGCTCCGGTGTGGAAGAAGCTGGGCACGGGGCAAAGCCTCGGAGAGCAAGAGCAGCCGGGGCTGCTGCTCCGCCTGCAGCACAACGGCCTGGAGGAAAGGAATCTTCCCTCTGAAAGATCCGATTGTTCCCACCACGGTGGGAAGAGAGGATGGGGAGGGGGAAAGGGGCAAGTGCAGCTGGAATACCAGCTCCGGATAGCGTCACCGTGACTTAACCTGAGACCCAGCTGGGGATGTGAACAGCCGCCTGCAGCTGGTGACGGGAGCGAGCGCCGGGGCGCGGCGGCAGGGGCTGGGGCTGCACGGGGGCCCCCGCTGGTCCGTTGCCATCGCGGAGTGATTCGGTTCCTGGTGCACCGGCCCCCTCGAGGCCAGGCCAGCTTTGACGTTAAACCGCTTGTCCCAGCCGGGTGCCGTCATGTTTCACACCCTCCAGGGAGGGAGATTTTCCTAACGCCTGCGGGTCCTGTTCCAGCGCGGCCCCCGTGCCCCGGTGAGGGGGTGGCTGTGCGTGCCCGGGCCGTGCTGGGCGCAGGGCTGCGCGCTCCTCCCGCGCCACCGAGGCACATGGTGGCTATGGGCTTCCCTGGAGAACGGGACTTCCCGCGGCGCTGGCGCTTCTGCAGCGCGGGGTCCCCCCGCAGCAGAGTCCTCAGGTGACCCCACATCACGTCCGGCACCGGCACCGCCTTAGTGCCGGTGTTTGCAGAGCATCAGGGCCTCTGAGCCCTCCTCTGCTTATTTATTCCTTGTAATTGAAGCTGTGGCGCAGCATTTGAGCAGCTTCCTGGGAAAAGTCTCCTTCAGTAAATAAATAATTTCCAGGGTGGGGACTGGGGCTGAGGAGCAGCTGCTGGCTGCCTGCGCGCGGGCCGGGGCGATGCCACCGCGCTGGCCGCGCGCCCTGGGAACGGCTCCGCCAGACCCAGATGTTTCCCTCACCGGCGCCCCAGGCGCTGGCCGGGCGCCCAGGGCGGCTGCGGGGGCAGCTGGTGCAGGGCAGGGGCTCTGCCCTGGGAAGGGGCCAAGGGCTGCACAGGGGGCTGCACATGGCAGGATGTGCAGGGGGCTGCGCACGGCAGCTGCGGGGTGCTGGGCGCGGGCAGGACGTGCAGGGCGCTGAGCATGGGCAACTTGAGGCAGTGGTTGTGCACCCAGGACGTGCAGGGGGTGCATGTGGGCAGGGAAAGGCGGTGGTTGTGCACCCAGGACATGCAAGGGGCTGCGTGCGGGTGGGTTGCAGCAGTGGTTGTGCACCCAGGACATGCAGGGGGTGCACGGGGGCAGGGTGCGGCGGGGGGTGTGGCACCCAG